CACTGCTCCTCAGGAGAACAATGAGACTTTCTGCTTTGGTAAAGATTTACAGGGTGGCTATGAATTGGATGGTTCATAATTTAATGACACATAATGACAACAACAACAACATCTTTTTCATAAGAAATTTTATAAATCAGAATACTTTCTGATGTTCTTCTTTAAGAACTTTCAGGCTAGGGCTCTGGAATACATCCTCCCTGAATTCTCCTTGTATTCAGAAGATGGACTTTCAGAACAGACCAAACATACATACCTCTTCACTTTTACTGCTAAATCCAGCCATTCGGGGCATTTGCATCTGGAAGTGAGAGCATATCAGTAATAAATGCAAAATTTCAACTGAAATGAGCTGTATTGTCCCCCAAGTTATGCAATGATAGTCCACAAAGAAAAGGTTTGTGTATGTACATATATGTGTGTGTGTATATATATATATATATAAAGTCTGGTAGCATAGTGGTTATGAGTTTGGCTGCTAACCTCAAGGTCAGCAGTTTGAAACTATCAGCTTTTCCATGTAAGAAAGATGAGGCTTTCTGCTCCCGTAAAGATTTACAGCTTTGGAAACTGTATGCAGGGTCACTATGAGTTGGAACCCACTTGACGACACTTAACAGCAATATACATACATATGTAAAATTTATGTATCTATTTAATACTCACTGGCATAGCAGCAGAATTTCCAAGCAGGCCTAGAAAGACCAGGAGAATCTTCATTTTTCCTTTTGATACCTGGAATGCAAAGCTGAATTTTATTTTTGGACTTGAAAGTAATTATACTTAAGATACTTTGCTCTTAATGAGTGCCAGCCTACTCAAGGGGTTCTCTGCTGCCACTTTTATTTCATATTATTAAACTATTTGGTAATCATTTAGTTACAACTTGACATTGCTCCAAACTGCCAAAATTAAGAGTAAAGACGAAAGATGATATAGAGACACATATCTGTTTTTATATGAGACATATTTGATATTTGTTTCTAGCTAATAGGTTGGCTTAGAAAGACGTAGTAATATTCAATTATATTTACTATACAGAAAAGCTTAGCTTTAATGACTTCAAAATCAGCCATTTCTAAGATCTATAGGCAATATTTAATTACACATAAGCTACCTAAATCAACTGGAATAATCCAGGATTCTGTAACTCAGGACAATGGAACATTTTGTTCTGTTATACCTAAGGTCCATCTGTCAATAAATCTGTGTTGGAAGAAGTACAGCCAGAATGTTTCTGAGAAGTCAGGATGATGAGACTTTGTCTCTCATACTTTGGACATGTTATCAGGAGGGATTAGTTCCTGGAGAAGGACACCATTCTTGGTACAGTGTAAGGTCATTGAAAAAAAGTAAGATCCCCAATGAAATAGACTGGCACAGTGCCGCAGCAATGGGCTCAAGTGTAACAATAATTGTGAGGTTATTGCAGGATCAGGCAATGTTTTGTTCTTTTGTGCGTAGGGTTGCTTTGAGTCAGAACCAAATAGACTGCACCTAACAGCAACGACTCGACGGCACTTAACAACAACAACAAACAGCAACAACAACTCTATGGTACATCATGAGTCAGAGCTGACTTACTGGCAAGTGACAAGAACAAAATTGTTCCTTCTAAATCCTCTGCTATTGTTTCCATTATTGTCATTACTATTGTTATTTCACCTTGAAAAAAAATTACTTTTGCTCCAGGTCTAGTCAGGAAAATAGGAAGAAATAGACAGAAATGTAAATTTATCTCTTAGATACTTTGACTAAACATATAGAGGAAAATGTTGGAGTTAGAGATTATATGAGGAGTTTGGAGACTCTTTATGGATTTCATTTATTCATAATTGAGACTTTTATTTAAATCCTTGAAGAAGTTTTGCTGTAAAGAAATTACTTGGGTAATTAAGAAAATTTTGTTCCTATTTTCGTATTTGTTGTTGTGTTAGGTGCCTTCAAGTTGGTTCCAACTCATAGCAACTTTAGGCATAACAGAACAAAACACTGCTCCTTGGAAACCCTATACAGGGTCACTATGAATCAGAACTGACTCTATGGTATTTAATAACAACAGTCTTAATGGAAACAAGCTGTCACATCTTTCTTCTACAGAACAGCTGGTGAAGTCAAACCACTGACTTTGATTAACATCTGAGCACTTAAACATTGTATCACCAGAGCTTAACCAGCATATAGATGGCTATATTTCATTACTTTTGCTCCCGCTTTCTTTTTTTTCTGGGTCGAAAATGGATCCTGTAGTTATTTTAGTAGTTATCTGAGTCAATCAATATTCACCCTCAGCTTACTTCTCATGGGCATGTATATTTAAAAGACATGCTTGCATTTTAATAATCTACTTTTTCCTAATTTGTTTTCTGAATAACAAATAGATGTAATCAATTGTCTTTGGTTTATCAGAGAATTTGAGAGATGTAATTAAACAAAGGAAACAGCAGTATGTAAATTAAAGTTTTTTAGAATCCTGATATTCTAGAGAATTAAAAATAACAGCAACTAAATTTAGTGTGTTTAGTATAGGCTTGTAACACAAGAAAACCAATAAAGACAATATTAGTGGGGGCATTCCTTTCTAATTCTATTTTCCAAGATTACAACTCATATTTTTGGACATTTAATTTTTCTAAAGATTTACAGCCTCGGAAACCCTGTACAGGGTCGCTATGAGTTGGAACCGATTCCACGGCACTTAACAACAACAACAACAAAAATCAATCATTGTATTTCTATAGTAGCAGTGTCACAGAAGTTTTTGATAATGTTTCTATTACAGTACACATTCATGTAGGAATATGTGATCTTTTATTTAGCAAATACAAAATGCTAATAATTTTGTTTTATAAAAATAATATGTTATTTGGATGACTTCTGAAAGTCAAAGGATAATAAGGAACTTTATAACTAATATTTTGATTGAATAATACTCAAAATGACTATGTATGGAGTATGAGGGTCCTTCAAAAAATTCATAGAAAAAATGCAATTAAAAGAGAATGGATTTTTTCCATGAACTTTTTGATGTCTCCTTGTATAATAACTGTGTATATTCTTCAATTCTATCCATAAACTTGGATACTCTTTGGTTTTTCTGTAATATTTTTCCCTGTCAAGTATACTCCTGACAATATCTAACTTAATATTACGCATTGGGAAAAAAAGGAATGAAGTACTCACCAAGTGATCTAGCTTAGAATAAGAGACTCCAGGTTTGCTCCGCAGCAGCAACATTTTTTCATCAAAATTTTCATAAGCCTTTAACAAATAGATACATTTAGTAGAATAAGAAATTCAAATAGAGAAATCAAACAAATAAAATGAACACCAAAGCTTCAGTGTAACTAAGGAAGCACATGTCATGTTATTTTATCCACATTAGAGAGTCCCTCAAAGTAAGTTTAACCTCTGTTGCTTTGAGAGTTAGATAAAAGCTAAAGCAGGGAGAAAATGATATAGCACACTTCTTTGAGACACTTCTGGTACAATGTTGAGAAAGTATGACTGCTCTATGTGGAAATGCACAAAACATAGTATGTGCTGAGTTCCTAGTAGGTTGTAAAAAAAAACTAAGAAAAACAACTATAGCCCATAAACCAGAGTATAAATTTTATCAGCAGATTAGTCTGAAAATAATTGTACAACCACTATCAAGGAATGCAGAGAGGAGATAACAGCACTTGTGAAATTAAGTTAATTATTTGATACTTTATAATTTATATTGATAATCTCTAATACTCACCCAATGCCAGTTAGAAGCTACAATATACATAAAATAACTTGTACTTGAACTTGTTTAGCTTATCTTAAAAATATATTCCTAATGGTCTACCGTGGAAATGTCTACAAATTTCTGAAGTCAGGGAGATCTCAAGGAGTAAGACAAATTTATTTCTTAATAATGAAACAAAAATTCTTCATACAGGTGTCATGTTCCCTTCTAAAGAGGCTTAAAATGAAAAAATTCTTCCTTGTCAGAAAGCTTGGGATAGCAAGTTCACATTTAAGCACTGTTGTAGACCTGTACAACCAATCAGCTTTGAGGAAAATGGTTTTGCCATCATAAGAGATTAAGGTGAAAAACAACAACACAAAAAACACATCTAATGTAAATTTTATAATGTGTTATTATAGGAGCTGTCCAATCAAGTCTCTTATTACATTTAATAACAGTTCAGGAAAATGAGCTTACAGCAGTAAGATTTAGAAGACGCTTTGCCTGGTGAATTTGAAGCTTTTGAAGCATAGAAACTTTGTTTATACAAAGATATTTAGGAGACAAAGATGAATATTACTTACATACAATTGTCATAAGCCTTTGGACAACAGCAAGAGGTAGGTCAGTTATATTTTAAATATAGCATTTAAAATTTAATACATTTAGCTAATATGTAAATTAAAGTGTACTTGAATGTCATATCCATGGACAATTCAGTGATTGGATTTGAATTGTATTGTATAAGACTACCCAAATTTAAGGAGCCCTCATAGCATAGTTACTTAACAACAACAACACCATCGCATAGGGGATTATGAGCTGGGCTGCTTTCTGCTTCTGTAAAGACTTTTTATT